GGGCCTCCCTCTGGTTCATGCTGGTACCTCCACGTTTTCATGCACAGTGCCTGAAACATACTGGGTAATCAATAACTATTCCTTAACTGATAGAATTATGAGTCTGTCTCAATTTTAAGACCTATAAGATATTTCACAGAGATATCAGGGATTCTCACACCATGGCTTTGTAGGAGATTGCAAATATTTTTCAGAGGGACAAAATGAAATAGAGATCATTTTCCCTAGATCATGTGAACTCTTCAAGGCAGAAATGGAGACTAAGAATTGCAGGCTCCTGCCTGGACCGGACCATGAAGTACCTGAAACTGTGTTTCTGAAACTATTTTCACCATGACCTACAGTAAGAAATGCTTTTTATATCATAATCCAATGTATATATACATACATGCATATAACTAAAAAAAAGTTTCACTAAACAAAACTTATTTTCTCTTAGTACATGGAATACAGTAATACTTTAATTTTCTATTTTATACTGTTTCATTTTCTAATGTTTGTAATAACACAATAAATTGATTTTAACATTCAACACTGGGTTATTAAAACAAATACAAAAGTACCACCAGTTTCTGCTTCTGACTAAAATGAAATAATAGGGAACATATTCAACCTCCCAACCAAACTAACAACACACAGAACAAAACACTTGAAAACAACAATTTTCAAGGCAGCGGACACAGGACTGTGAAGGCTATGGCTCAGGGTGAGGGAACCCAGACAGAATCCAATTCTCTAAGTTAAGGAGATATAACTGAGAGTCTAGGGAGGTCGAGGAGGGCAGAGTTCACAAGGACAGAGTAGCAGGGAAGAGAGCGATGTACAGAGAGAGTGAGCACTTTAGAGGGCTGCGGACAGTCCCTCTCAATATTCAGAAAAGTACTGATTAGCACATGCATATGATGAAACTACCCAAGGCCAGGGAAAGCAAGGATAAAAGGAAACAGGGCCAAAGAACATTCAAAAGGGAAGCTGAAAATATGACATGTCAGAATTTGTGTTCAATAAAGCTGGGGGAAAAAGGCAGACAGTAAACACAATTTTTAGAAAAAGTCTGAGATGCCACTAAAGTATCTTCAAGTATTTAGGAGGAGTTTTATAGCACTAAATGCCTACATCAGGAAAAAAGAAAGGTCTCTAACCCACAACATCAATTTCTACCTTAAGAAACCAGAAAAAAAAAAGAGCAAATTAAACAGACGAGAGGAAATAATAAAGATCAGAATGGAAAACAATGCAATAAAAAACAGGAAAACCAGAGAAAATCTATGAAGCCAAAAGCTGATTCTTTGAGGAGATGAATAAAATTGATGGACCTCTAGCCAGACTGACTAGGAATGGAAGAGAGAAGACACAAATTTCAGTAACAGGAATGAGAACAACAACAACACTAGAGGGTCTTTGGACAACAACGCTATGCAAAAAAAAAAAAAGCTTGACAATTTAAATGAAATGGATGTATTTTTTGAGAGGTAAATGCTAACAAAACTCATTATAGAAGGAATAAATTACCTGAACAGTCCTCTACCTATTTCAGAAGTTGAATTTATAATTAAGAACCTTCCCATAAAGAAAACTCCAGGACCAAAGGCTTCACTGATGAATCCTACAAAATAATTAAGGAAAAAATAATGCCAGAAAGTGAACAGTACCAAAATATAACAGGAAAATGAAGAAGAAGGAACACCTTCCAACACATTCTATGAGACCAACGTTGCCCTGATACCAAAATCATACAAAGACATTACAAGAAAAGAAAGCAGATCAGTATCCCTCAGGGATATAAACACTAAAATTCTAAACAAAATTTCATCAGACTGAATCCAATAAAACATCATACATCCAAAAGATTTTGTGTTTAATATTTAAAAATCAATCAATGCAATTTACCATGTTTACAAACTAAAAATCTAAAATTATATGACATCTCAAAAGACACAGAAGTATCTGGCCATCTTTACATTGAGTGTAGCTGTTTAACCAGCTAAGAATTCACCAAACTGAATTCTATATGATGTTTTCTTTGACCCTTGGCCTGAGCCACCTATGTGCCACACACCCAACTGCATAAACACCAAGCTCATATTGCCCACTCATAATTTTTGTTTGGGGCTTTTTGTCATTTTGTTTGTGGTTTTTGTTTTGGGTTTTTTCTTTCTCAATCACCCTTGAATTCATCCCTCACGCTGACTCCAGTACTACTCTCATTTTGACCTGATGCCAACCTACTACTCATATTCTGGCTTTTTGACCTTTATCTCCATTTCTTCCTTTGGTCCCTTTTCATTTTTATACCCTGTTTCTCCAATATTTAAATGTCAGCTTCTCCAAATGAATTTGTCTTAACTGCACTTCTGGTACCTGTTGCCCTGGGTTACCTTACATAGAAACTCCTCCTTCGTAGCTTAGGCTTGTGAAACCCAACCACAGCCCTCCTGGCCAATTTTGTACTCATTCCCCTTCCCCTGATGGGGAAAGACTGGGCTTTGAGAGAAAAAGAGTAGAGTAGGCAAGTGAGACGTGGTCTGAGAAACAGCATGAGCAATAATGTAGGTGCATTCTGGAATCCACTTTTGCTCCTTTTTGGAAAACTGTGGCATTGTCTATTCTTTTCTTCCATGTGCCATCTCTCCCCAAGTATTACTATCAGTTGTTCCTCGATCACGTAAGTAAAGCCCAGTAACGACCTTTATCATTTTTGTGGCCATTTTAAAATGTTGTATCTCTTTCAGGTCTCACTTAACTAAGATATCAAACTCCTGTAAACCACATTCCCTCTACCATGTCCGGTGTAAAGAACCCCTTTCTCAACAGAGAAGGACACAGATTAAGAGGCGAATAATACCATGTTGTCTCTATGACCTGTCTATGTCTCACCATCTGCCCCAGCTCTGAGCTTGTCTCCTCATTCTTCTTCTGACACTAAGCCTGGTTCAAATAGTCCTTCTGGGGTGCCCTCTGTATTTTCTTTTACAATTTAAATGCATTCCAGGCTTAAGTCCTTCTGCCACAGTTCTACCAGATTTGTGAAGCTCTGCTATATTCAAATACCCCGACTTCCTTCTTGTTCCAC